CCCCGGGGGGGGGGGAGTCGGGGACATTTAAGTCCCAAGGCTCCCCCCCGAAGACTTCTCGAGAATCGGGGGCGCGGGTGCGTCGCCTCGCATAGGCGGGGTTGGCGCGGCCGCGCCCCCGAATGGAAAATTCCCTCGGCTGTGGCCGAATCCTAACTCTCAAGGGAGCGGAAGGAGCCGCAGCCGGAAGGACCGAAGGGAGGGGTCGTTCCCCCTGCGGGGTCGCGCTTTGTCTGGCTTTGTGCGGGGTGCGGCCTCTCCCCTCACGGACGTAGATGCAGCGGGAAGGCCCTCTCACCGGGAACCGTAAGGTACCGGTGGGGGGGCATCAACGCCGTAGAGGGTCCCTTTCAGGGAAGGGTCTCCCTGGTCAGGGCCTCCAGGGCAGACTGCCGAATCCTCATTCCCTTTGGGAGGGGGAGGAAGCACCATTCTGGAGGCGGGGGGTGGCGGCTCGAGCGGGATAACTCGAGTCGTGACCCCGTTCCCCCAAACTCTTTGGGAGGGCGCGGCGTGGGGTCGGTGTCACCCTGCGCCGCAACCGCGGTGGAACCGCACAGTCATTGACTGTGCGGTCGGGGAGGGGTCTCGGCCGTAAGGTCAAGGCAGCTCCCCGGAGACGGCTTGGCGGGGGGGTGACGAGACGGCATGGGATACCAGCATCCTCGCCGTCCCCTATCCAACGCTCGGGAAAAACACCCGCTGGGGTTTTAGTGCGGTAGGTCTTGGGCCCCTGGTCGAACCATTCGTGGCTCGATCAAGGGGAACAAGGAGTCCCACATAACCCGCATTTCTACCCGGAGGTGCGCGGTACCATGACGGTTTCCCCAGCGTCACAAAAAAAAGGCGAGTCATAGGTGACACGCTGCTCACCTATGAGAAGATAAACACGCTCTTAAGATCGAGGCGGTTCTCAACTCTCGCCCTCTAAGCGCTCTTGCGAATGTCTTGTCCGACTATGAGTTTAAGTTGTTTAAATACATAAGATAGCAATATTACATAAATTTACTGTTACTGTTAAAATAACTGTCTTGCTAAAATGTGACGCGTATTATGAAACGCAATATTACTACATAAGTTTAAATACTTTTGTGTTACAGTCAAAATGACACTTGTACAACATACTGTATTACTAGTATATTTTATTTTCTACATTAATCAAGATTTTAAAAAATTTAAGTTTGATTACAGAAGTACAAGTTTTCTTGTAGTAAATTTTTTTCCATCAATATACTTAATATGTTTTTACATCCATATTTTATTTTCAAGCAATATATGTAATGCCAAAGAGGTATTTGACTACCTCTTCTTATAATACGTTGTAATATAATAATATTGCATTTATGGTGAAATTGCGAATTGTCTTTCTTAAATATGAATTTAAGTTAAGATAGCAATAGTACAAAAATATACTGTTATTCTTAAAATAATTGTTTTGTTAAAATATAATGCGCCTTTATGTAATCATTAACATTTCAAGGACGTTTGATTACGGAAATACAAGTTTTCATAGTGAATTATCAATCAGTATACATAATTTGCTTTTACGTACAGATTTTGTTTTCTAGAAATGTATTTAACACCAAAAATGGATTTTGACAACTTTTTCTTATAACATTATCTTTAGGCCTTAGACATAATAGGAAAAATATTAAATATTTAATATTAAATATTTATTATTTGGTATTTAATAGTTAATATTTTTCCTATTGTGCGCAGGGCCTCAGTGTGTCAAGTCTAGTGTTTTGCGATTCTGTGTTTAGTTTTGTGATATAACGTTAAAGTATTATAAAATAATATATATATTATAAATATATAATATAAATAATAGAATATTAAACGTGGTATTTTTTATATTGAGTAATAAAATATAAAATAAATACTACATTAATAAAAACACTGTTCTATATTATATACAATAAAATACAATTATAAAAGTTGTGAACATTGCCAAAAATATTACGCAAAAAACTTTTGTACAGCTAGTTTGAATATTAAATAAAAAACATGCCTTAAATTTATATTTTTTTTCGCACATTATCTGTTTATCCCTCATTTTTATAATAAATTTTCAACAAATTTGCGTCTTGATTCTGCTCGATGTTCTCATTAGTCCATCCTTTATCTCTTTTATATCTGTATGTCAAAGCTTCTTTTCATAAATGTTAATAAAAATAAGTAACAAATATAAAAACATTAATATTCACAAAATAATTAAGATGTCCAACAATTTCGATATACAACTATCGATGTATAACTTTTGGTGTACAATTTTCCGTGTAGAACTTTCCGTGTAGAACTTTCCGTGTAGAAATTTCCGTGTAGAACTTGCGGTGTACAACTTTCCGTGTAGAACTTTCCATGTACAACTTTCCGTGTAGAATTTTCGGTGTATAACTTTCCGTGTAGAACTTTCCGTGTAGAACTTTCCGTGTAGAATTTTCGGTGTATAACTTTCCGTGTAGAACTTTCCGTGTAGAACTTTCCGTGTAGAACTTTCCGTGTACAACTTTCGGTGTACAACTTTCGGTGTAGAAATTTCGGTGTACAAATGAACGGTGTACAAATTTCGGTGTACATCTGAACGGTGTACAAGTAAACGGTATACAAATTTTGGTGTACAAATTTTGGTGTACAAATTTCGGTGTACAAATAAACGGTGTATAAATTAACGGTGTACAAATTAATAGTGCATATTTTAACAGTGTCTAGTATTCTGGGTATATAACTTCGTGTCCATTTGCACTGTGTCCATTTGCACTGTATCCAATTGAACCGTGTAGAAAATTTTGTGTCCATTTGACTTGTGTCCATTTGCACTGTGTCTATTTGAACTGTGTCCAAGTGAAGGCCACTCGATGGAAACCCTTATAGAAATTTATCACTAATAACGCCAATTTATTACTTATTTCGAGTACTTAATCACTTATTTCGAGTACTTAAATTACTGTATATCAGTATTTTAAGTACTCGAAATAAGTGATTAAATGGCGTTGCTAGTGATAAATTTCTATAAGGAAATATGAGGATGCGGATGAAGAGAATTATTCGAGTAATAACAAGAGTTCTGTCTTTACGTTAAAATCTACCATCTGATATTGATGTATTTTCTCATTGATAGGACAATTGAAAGATGATTGGATAATGATTTAAAGAAATCTGCGCAATCTTCGAAACTTGTTCGAATTTTTATGCAATACTGGAGTGTCGGATGATCTGCGTAATTAACAGAATCCTACCTTTAAGACGACGAACTCTTCGTTGACCTGTGATGTGCTTGACCAGCTTTGTTCCCTCGCAAGGACCTCGGTCGTGGAGTGCTTATGGCTAAATCAAACACCAGATTGTACGATGCACTGAAGTTCTTTATTCGTCTTTTAACCCGTTTACAAATTGTGCGCGATTATAAAGTTAAGAAGTCAGCGAGGTCGACGGCTAACCCATGACTTCAACAAACGCCAAATTACAAGTTGACGTGGAGTTACAGCGACTAACTGTTGATGACAAAATTGTATGTTCCGAGATTCGCGTTATAACTTGTGATGACTTTTTAGAATGATACGAAATTGTTGCTGCGCTCCTCGGCTAGCGATAATTCAAGATGATACAAAATTGTTGCTGCACTCCTCGGCTAACGACAATTTAAGATGATATGCCGTAACTTTTCTATGATGAAATGCCGTCGTCCGGCCAGATTTTCTAAGATTTATTCTCGAGCGTTTCTTGTCTGGATCTTGACTATATTATGATTTCTATGTTTCAGGTCACCGTGAGAACTAGGACATCGCCGTGGAATCGCCGTGGACCTTTGGTTTCGCTGGAGAGGATTGTCGTGGGAACGACAGCAACGGGTAAATATACTGACACAGTTCTTTAGACAAAGAATATAATATATACTTCTTTTTTGTTTCAAGCCAACGCATACATGTACATTATCTTTCCGCGCACAATACACAGTTCGGTATCTTTATTCGCGTAAGTATTTCACACTATCTTAGCGATCGCGTTAATAGTTTTCTTTTCCGCACGTCGTAAACAACGCTCGCGATGCATAAATGCACTACCGTTCGGCGGCGTACCGATATGCTTACTCTCCGCTTGTTCACCCGCCTTCGATTTACGCGTGAAACACTAATTTAAAAAACAACTAATATATATCTTTTTTTTTATTACCGGTTCGTCACTTGTCCCGGGTGGAATAATAATAATAAGTCAATGGAGTTTAATTAACAAACGTATATATTTAACACCAGAATAACACCATTGATTTAACAAGACGAGGCTCTCTAGACCGATCAAAAAGCCGACCCGGATAAATTGTACGAACTACGAGCTTCCGTACTGATCGCGCGTAAAATCCGGACGATGCGTACGCTATCGAGGTTCGTCTCACAGTCCCGATTCTGCTCAATCCTCGATAATATTCCCTACCGAGTCAAATACAATAACATACTCGGTGTCGGTCGTATGATTTCTTCAACCAATCACGATCGACCACCGAGATGTTTGTCAGATTTCGGCAGCAACAGTAATGTCAGAAAAACTAAAGGTAAATAATTCCTTAGAATCCGAAGCAAATGTTATGTGCCCGAGGACTGGTTCTTTGAAACAAGAGTTATAAATCAAACGAGAATTTATCTATATTGTGATCGTCTCTTTCTCGAACATCCCGCTCGCCTCGTATACCGGATAGGTAACGAAATAATTACTTCTCAAACAGATTAAAGTCCAGTCCTTCAGGGTTGAGCGATCTAGAGAGGTTTTAAGACAACATTGCAAAACAAAGAAATATGCAGTTGATTACATGATACATGATTGAAGAAATAGTACAGATTAAGTACAATAGTTATAGATCGAAGATGATAACGGAGTAAGGCGCTGAAATTTGGTATTACATTGTACTTATGTCTACATAATCATAATTTGACGTCGCGACATAGTCTTATTTGAGACGGTAATCGAGCGAAATCTTCATTTCGCGGAGCGTATTAATCTAAGAGCTAATAATTCGCATTTATCGGTAGTCGACAGATCTGTGTTAATGGTCGCTTCAGAGTTGTTTTTGCGGTACGTAACGTTACAACGCGGACATGGCTATCCTTTCCTGGATGAACCGCTACTATTCGAGCGAGTTCCCATTTAGAAGGAGGAAGGAGACTATTTTTTAATAACACTAATTCGTCGATCTTTAAATCCGGTTGATTCTCGCGCCATTTTTGTCGTTGCTGAAGAGTATGCAGATAATCAGCCGACCAAGATCGCCAGATCTGTTCGAGCATCGCGCGTACTTGTTGCCATCGCGAGAGACGGTCAGAGTCTATTTCTAAATTCGACTCTTCCGGTAAACTAATTAACGGGCGGCCGATTAAAAAGTGGCCCGGAGTAATCGCAGAAAAATCGTTCGGATCGTCATGTAATGCGGAAATAGGTCGTGAATTTAGACACGCCTCAATCTGACACAGTAGCGTAGCGAACTCGATTTGCGACAATGTACGCGAGCCGGTTACTCTTTTAAGATGAAACTTCAATCCTTTTACGCCGGCTTCCCAGAGTCCGCCAAAATGCGGCGCGGCGGGAGGAATAAAATGCCATTTTACGTTGTCGTTGGCAATGGTGTTTTTAAGTTCAGGATCGGCGATAAGTCTTTGAAAAACGGAGTACAATTCCCTATCTGCGCCCTGAAAGTTCGTGCCGTTGTCGCTGTAAATGTCTGACGGGAGGCCACGACGACTCGCGAAACGTTTGAAAGCAGCGAGGAATCCGGCAGTAGTGTAGTCGTCCACGTACTCTAAGTGAACAGCCTTAGTCGCAAGGCAGATAAATACTACCACGTAATACTTTCTCGATTTTTGACCTCTTCCCACGACTGGAATTATATTCATCGGTCCCGCGTAATCGACGCCCGTATGCGTGAACGGGGGCGATGGGTTGACTCGATGAACGGGAAGATTCCCCATCAGCTGTTGCGACGGACGCGCGCGTTCGCGGACACATCTTACGCAATTATGAATGTGGGATTTGACGCTGGTGCGAGCGGAAATTATCCAATAGTTTTGTCGTAAAATACGTAGCGTAAGTTGAGTGCTACCATGAAGGGCGGCTTTATGCGCGTGCGCGATTAATAAGTCGGAGATGCGATGCTTCGGCAAAATGATGGGATGCCGTTCGTTAAAACTCAACGGCGAGTTTTCGATCCGCCCGCCCAGGCGTATTAATTTGTCTTCTCCGAGGAAAGGACAGAGAGTCGACAAGGAGCTGGATTTCGGAATTGAACCTTTCGCATTTAAAACCTTAATTTCCGACGGAAATTGATGGAGCTGTACGTACCGAAGCCAAAAAAGGGAAGCTTCCTTGAGCTCGACAGCTGACAACTCTATCGTTTTTGGTGCAATAAATTCGCGTTTTAATTTTTGAATAAATCGTTTCACGAGCGCGGTAACTCGAATTAATTTCGTCCAGCTAGAAACGATATGCGGTAGCTCCCATTCCGAGGAGACTCGAGTATGACACACGGAAGAGAGTTTGATTTCAGATTCGACGATTTCTCGATTAGCGTCGGGTCGATTTTGATTATGCTTATGAATTGGCCACGCTGATTCCGTAGAACTCAACCAAGCGGGGCCGTGCCACCAGAGCTTAAAGTCCCTGAATGCAGCCGGCGATAAATCTCGCGACGCACAGTCTGCGGGGTTATCGCTCGATGAGACACGATTCCATTGAACCGAAGGGAGTCGAGTCTGGATTTCAGATACGCGATTTGCGACGAAGGTTTTCCATCGCGATGGATGGCCTTGTATCCAGGCTAAGGCGACAGACGAGTCGGTCCATCCGTATACAGGCGCTTTTTGCAAATTCAACGAATTTTGCACCCATTCGAGTAATTTAGTCAATAATACAATTGCGCTCAACTCCATTCGCGGTACGCTTATTGTCTTAATCGGGGCGACTTTTGATTTAGCTGTTAATAAAACTACTGAAATTTTATTGAACGAGTGACGAATTCTCAAATAAACGACAGCAGCGTACGCGCGGGTCGACGCGTCTGCGAACCCATGTAATTCGACAGCTAAATTTTCTCGATGTCGTCCAGTCCAGCGCGGGATGCGTATTTCATTTAGTTTGGAAAATTCCGAGCAATACTTTCTCCACGGCTCTAATAATTCGGCAGATACAGGAGAATCCCAGTCATATTTTCTGATCCACAGCTCTTGGATCATTATTTTAGAGGTAATTACTATCGGAGATGCCCATCCTAATGGATCAAAATTTTCGCGATAAATGATAGAATGGTTCGTTTAGTATTAAAGTCGGCAGTAGGTATATCTACTTGGAAACAAAACGAATCTTCTTGCGGTCTCCACGTGAGACCAAGTACCTTTAACATATCGTCTTCACCGAGTTTTCGTTCGACAGCTAATTCGTGCTCGCCAGCCGGAATATCGTCTAATAATTCGGTCGCGTTAGCAGCCCATTTGCGTAAGTGAAAACCGCCACGCGACATTAGTGACTGAAGTTGATCGCGGCTTTCTTTGAGCTCCGGAACGTCGTCGGCGCCGAATAACACGTCGTCGACGTATATAAATTCCTGAACGATGGATTGAGCTTTCGGAAATGCATGTCCTTCATCGAGAGCCAATTGATTAAGAACTCGCATGGCTAAATAAGGAGCAGGAGCAGTGCCGTACGTAACCGTTAATAATCGATAGGCTTTAATAGGTTTATCATTTGCGGATCGCCAGAGAATCCGTACTAAATCCGTATCATCCGGATGAACGCGAATCTGTCGGAACATTTTTTCAATATCCGCTGTATACACGTAGCGGAATTGTCGCCATCGCAGGATAATAGAGGCTAACTCGCGTTGTAACTTAGGTCCGGTCATCAGATAATCATTTAACGTAGAGCCGTTACTAGTTTTACACGACGCGTTAAATACGACGCGAAGTTTCGTTGTACTGCTGGACTCGCGGAGCACCGGATGATGCGGGATATAAACCGGAGAAAAGCGTGGCTTATCGTCATCCGTAACGGCCTCCATATGACTCATTGTTTCATATTCCGACAAGAATTCGTTATATTGTTTGGCAAGATCGTAATTTCGATCTAGACGTTTTTCTAATTTAGAATATAGAAGCGCGGTAATTTCGTATGAAGAACCGATTTCGAGCGGAGGATCGGTTTTGAACGGTAACCGAACGATATAACGGCCGTCGTTGGCACGCGTATGACTTTCCTTAAAATGCAATTCACATTTTTGATCTTCTTCCGACATCGGAGAGTCGGAAGAAATCTCCTCGATCTCCCAAAACTTACGGAGCAGAGAATCTATCGGAGGGTCCAGGACGCAATTTAGCGTTTGAACCGATTCTGTTCTTTGAGTAGAAGTTCCGGTGGGACCGGATAAGACCCAGCCTAGTTTAGTGAGCTGAGCCGTTGGAGTTCCGATTGGGCCTTGCTTTACGTCATGCAGTAACAAAGCGCCGTATATGTCCGCTCCGAGGAGCAGATGAATCGGGTAATTGCTAAACGGATCGGGATCCGCGAGATTTAATCCACATAAGTGAGGCCAAGAATCGAGAGGTTTTATTCGAGAACCCGCGTACGACGTTATTTTTTGATATACGAACGCATTTAGAGGTAAAGAAGGTCCTTGCGTTTGACACGGCTCGAGCTTGAGCGGTACTTGCGCTTTCGCTACGCCACTGTATTGTTCACCAAAGCAATGTACCAGTAATCTCGCGCGGTAACGTTTCGTGCGCAGCGTTTGGCATAATGACTCCGAAATAAAACTAACGGCAGAACCCTGATCCAATAACGCACGTATTTTAAATTTACGACCTTCGACCGTGCGAAGAATCACCCACGCAGTAGCTAACAGTACATTCGGTGGATTTTTATCGGAGCGCTAATCGTTTGAACAGAGACAACAGCGGACTCGTCGTGAGCCTCAGAGGCAGTAGCAGACGGTTGAGCGTTGAGCGTCGCATTATTCGCGACAGAATTTACATTCGTCTTTTGAGCATTAACGTCCCGGTGTAGGAGCGTATGATGCGCTCGTCGGCACACATTACATCGTTTTTGACTCGAACAATCGTTAGGGAAGTGGCCGACCTTTAGACAATTGAAGCAACATTTATTTGATCGGAGAAGCTGAATTCTCTGTTCAACTGATTTACGTTTGAAATCATCACATTGCATTAACCGATGATTGCCGGGGCAATTCAAACATTTATCGGCGGTCACGCTGTGTACAGAGGCGCGATTATAACTGCAGCGGTTAGAACCTTTAATTTTATTTTGCGAAGAATCGATATTTTTATAAAGATCCGTCAACCCTCGTATTCGCAACGTCATGAAATCACGAATATTTTCGTAAGTCGGATAAGCGCTTGTTTTTCCGCGTAACAGATTCCATTCGTTACGCGTGCGTGGACTAAATTTTTGAGAGATTATAAAAACTAACAAATCGTCCCATTGATCTACCGGTCTGCCTAAATTATCTAACGCAGCCAATGACGAGGCAACAACATCTTGCAACCTCTTAAGATCGGCAGCAGTTTCCGTTTTCATAATCGGCAGCTCTGCAAAGGCTTGAATGTGCGCAAAGATGATAGCGTATTGGTTATCGTACTCATCTACAAGTAATTTCCACGCAGCGTCGTAACTCGTGTCTGTTATCTGGATATGATTTATCAATAACACGGCTTCGCCCGTAACACTCGCCTTTAGGTAATGTAATTTTTGAGTGTTCGATAGCGTTTCTTTAGAGGCAACAAGCGACTCGAAGATTCCGCGAAAATTTCCCCACTCCGTTAGATTACCGGAAAATTTCGGCAGAGATATACGAGGTAATTGCAACGCAATAGAGGGTTCCCGTATAGAGGTGTCGCTTACCGAGTGAGCCGCGTTCGACTCGCATCGAGTGAATTTACCGATTACATCAGCGAGATAGTCCGCGGCTTCGTGATAGACGTCCTCAACCTCGAAGAAGACCTCTGCGGTGAAGTATCCGTTCGTTCGTTGTTCCTCGGGTGATGCTGCGAGGAGAAGCCGGACGTTCAGCTGTTGACACTTCTCCCATAAGGTCTCCAGGCCTTCCAGTCGATTCTTCGTCTTGTATAAGGTGACGTTAGCCTTGCCAAGTTTTTTAAAATTGGAAAGTACTCGCTTGATCGAAGCGATCGTGGCAGATTGCTCGACGAGCAGTTCCTGCAGGTCACTCGACATAACAGCGAGAAGTAGGACCTCAGCTGGGCACTAAAGCTTCACCAAACGCAGAGCGATTTGGTAGAGTGTTAAAGTGACGGCTGACCGTCGTGTTTCAGTCGGCTAATCGGAGAGTAAGCATATCGGTACGCCGCCGAACGGTAGTGCATTTATGCATCGCGAGCGTTGTTTACGACGTGCGGAAAAGAAAACTATTAACGCGATCGCTAAGATAGTGTGAAATACTTACGCGAATAAAGATACCAAACTGTGTATTGTGCGCGGAAAGATAATGTACATGTATGCGTTGGCTTGAAACAAAAAAGAAGTATATATTATATTCTTTGTCTAAAGAACTGTGTCAGTATATTTACCCGTTGCTGTCGTTCCCACGACAATCCTCTCCAGCGAAACCAAAGGTCCACGGCGATTCCACGGCGATGTCCTAGTTCTCACGGTGACCTGAAACATAGAAATCATAAAATAGTCAAGATCCAGACAAGAAACGCTCGAGAATAAATCTTAGAAAATCTGGCCGGACGACGGCATTTCATCATAGAAAAGTTACGGCATATCATCTTAAATGTCGTTAGCCGAGGAGTGCAGCAACAATTTTGTATCATCTTGAATTATCGCTAGCCGAGGAGCGCAGCAAACAATTTCGTATCATTCTAAAAAGTCATCACAAGTTATAACGCGAATCTCGGAACATACCATTTTGTCATCAAACAGTTAGTCGCTGT